TGCAGCAAGTCAATGGTATTAACCAGCAATTGACCGTGATGAATAAAAACTTTGCAGCACAGCAGCTTCAGCTGAATAAAACAGAGAAAAAAGTGGAGCAGGCAAACGAAAAAATTAACGAGATAGACACCACAAGCAAGAAGTTGAAGAAAAGGTTGGGAGATGTGGAAACGAAGCAAAATTGCCAAGAGAATCGAGTTTTGCAGCTACAGATGGAAAAAGCTAACATGATTCTCAGGTTTCAGGGGGTTCCTGAAACGGATCGGCAAGACTCGAAGAGGGTGCTTGGTGAGATCATTGCTCAAGTAGTAGATTTAACAGCGGATGAACTGGTAAACGAAATGGAGTCAGTCTATAGGGCATACTCCAATTACATTTAAAAAAATTACCTACCTGGAGAAATAGTGGTTAGGTTTTTAAGAAGACAAACCAGAGATGCCATTTTAAAAGCAACTTCAGCAACTCCACTGAAAATGGGAAATATTACCATTAAAACCTTAAAGGACATTCCATTTGACATTAGACAAAAGAGGAAAAATTACAATTTTCTTCAAACTAATGGGATATCGTAAAGGTGGGCGGTTCCAGAGGGTGTCATCTTTAATATCGATAGAAGAGAGAAGATAGACTCCACTTTTAAAGCTAAAGAATTTTTGAGATGTCAGCTGGGGACAGACGAAGAGTCCAAAGAGGAAGAAACGAAGTCTAGTGACTCTGCTACCTCGGGAATGGATGAGGCTTCTGCGGCAGAAAAGGGTGCTGGACCTGCCAGAGTGGTATACGATTTTAGAGACAGAAAGCCAAAGTAAAGGCAGAAGGACTTGGAAAATGGCCTTTTGAAGCGATGAATAAGAAGATGATCAGCGACTTCTTTTATAACAACTAACAAAATAACATAAAGAACGAATTGCTATAAGCAAGAACTCTACAAGTATATTGTGATATTAAAACTAATCGTACTAACATTTTTACTAACAGTGAAAAGATCTCCTCTTCTTGGGGTTTTAGTTTAGTTTAGTGTGGTTTGCTTTCCTTTATCCTTAGTTGTAGTCCCTTCCCTAATATTTCTTTGTAGTTTTTGTAGTATTTGCAAAATAAAAAAATATCCCTCCGGGGATTAAAAAAAATAAATACTAGTCCTCAGTTATCGGTTGCTGCTGCATTGCACTTTCTTTTGACAAATATGATGATTGAAACAACAGCTGCCGTTAATAGTGCTGTTGTATTTGTATTTTTTTAATGTTACTAATAGTTATACCTCGCCTTTATACCTGTATTTCAGAAATTTGTTCCCAAGGCAGCTAATACAGAATACATACAAGGATAGAAATTAACATTGTTCTTATGCTGATTTCTCTGTTTTCCTGCTCCCTAGCTAGAAAGTTATGCAATTGTGAAAATGTTTGAATTCTTTCCCCATACAATCAGACCTGGGAAGGGATTCAAATGTTGCAGTAGCAAATTTTGGCAGTAATTGGGGGAGGGGAAGGTTTGATTGGGAGCATTGTTGCTTTATTTTAGGTGCTCAATTTTTTATTTTTATTTTTTTCATCTAGCTAAGCACTGGAATTACATGACCCTTACATGTAATTGCATGTAGCTTTCCTTCTTCTTCAGCAACATGGATAAGAAGAAACTCCTGCATATATATTGAGTAAATCAGAGTGCAGAGAACGTGACTCTAAGAAAGAGCAATGTGTTTTGTCCTATTTTACAGGCCCCCTCCTGTGAGCGAAGGTGCACCCAAAGGAACTCAGGTGGCTGTTATAACTGCTGCTGCCTTGAATCAAACAATCATCTATTCCATTGTTTCAGGAAATGAAGGTGGTAAGTAATCCTGTCCCAGATGATCTTGTATATGAGCAAAATGTACTTTTTTGAGGGGACAGTGGGAGACAAACATTTCTGATGGAAGAAAGTACATTTGACACCTGTGTTTCCAAGGGACTGAACCTATGCTATCTCTTTTATGATGGTTTCTTAAGTGTTATTGTGTTTTCTGCTGCAAAATCTGACAAGCACCTGCCTTTGTTTCTGCCCCAGTATTTAAGATCCTTTGTCATTTCTTTAGGGGACATTGGAAGTCGGAGCTATGTAAGAGGGTCTAGGAATGTGTTACACAGGATTTTCTGCATTGTCTCTGATGTACAATTCACAAGATTTTTTGAGAAGCCATGACAGAAATCTTGTATAATGGCAATCTAGTTTTGCAGTGCAGGCATATCCATAAGGTCAACATATACAGCACTATTTTGGAATAAACAGGTTCAAGAGGAGGTTCAAAAAATAAAGGAAAAGAAAATGTAGAGACTAGGGATGGACACAAACCTAAACATTTCAGTTTGGGGTAGCTCTCGAACCAAGTCAAAATGCCCTGAACCAACCAGTTTGGACCCCCCCTTTCTCTCAGCCACAGCTTGACATTTAAGCCTAACAGCTGATGGGCAGATCCACCCCACTGTTAGGTTTAAATGGCTTCAAAGTAGGGAAAACGAAACACAGTGGATCAGGTATGCCAGTCAGCTGTTAGGTTGAAATGGCTGGCAGCCATTTAAACCTAACAGATCAGCTGCAGACCCGCGCCACTCAGCCAAACTGGACAAAAGTCTGGTAAATGTTCGGGGTAGGCTCCTTCCCCAAACATCATTTTGGGGGATCTGAACCAGAACAAGTTTGTGTTGCATTTTGTCTCATGAGCCAGTTCATGACCATCCCTAGGAGAGACTCACATTAGCCAGTGGCTGGAGGGTTTGCCCCCTTACCATGAAGGCCCAGCTTAGCTTAGAAACCTTATAAAAAGTTGTTTTTTTCCCCCTGATAATATTAGGGTATTTGCTTGGGACAGGAATAATGTTGCTTATGTTTTCAGTTTCCCTTCATGTTCATAATTTCCACTTCTGGAACTAAGAGACAGCTTTTTTCAATGGCACATTTTGAAAGTTCACTGCTGGAGACTGGGGAGAAAAAACAGTAGTCACACTAAATGCTTGTAGTTTTACCCAGATTTTGTATAGGCTTTGACTGATAACATCCATTCTAAACATTTTTGGAAGGATAATAATGGGTGCGGGGGTGTTGTATGTTCCAGGTATATTTTCCATTAATAACAGGACAGGTGTCATCTCGATAAATAAATCTCTGGACTATGAAACTGTGAAAAACTATGTGCTTCGTGTGCAAGCGGATTCACTACAAGTGATTCGGACCAATTTGCCTGTGCCATCTAAAAGTAAGTTACTTTCATCAAGTGTCTTATATATGGGGAAGGGCCATGGCTCAGTGGTAGAACATCTGCTTTGCATGCAGAGGGTGCCAGGTTTGATACCCAGCGACTCCAGTGAAAAGGATTGAGTACTAAGCGATGTGAAATCCCTCAGCCTGAGACTAGAGATGCTGCCAGTCAGAGTAAACAGTACTGACCTTAATAGACCAGACTCCACTTCATGCCCATGTAAGACAACTTCAAGCCTATGTGTTTGGATTTCTACCCCAAAAAGACCATCTTTCTCTTCTCTTTTATTCTGGTCTAGCTGTTTTAAGAGGTTGTCATTTTGTTACTCAGTTATCTGGTACTTACTGCATGCTTGTTAGGCCAATGTAGTGTTACAAATACAGTCTAAGACCATTACAGCTAAAACTCTAATATAAGAATGGCAGGAGCTCTAACTCACTTATTACTATTTAACTACCTCTACGCGCCACATACTTTAAAAAAATGCTGCTGGATACCACAGCTAGATTCAAGTCCAGTAGCACTTTAGAGACTGACAATATTTTGGGGGTATAGGCTTCAGAGAGTCAAAGTTCCCTTCATCAGGTATTTTGTTGATCTCTAAGGTGCTACTAGACTCAAATCTGGCAGCCTTCAGGCATTGTGGCTGTAGAACTTGAGGTGGGAGCTGCATTGCTAAATGACCCAAGTCTGTACAAACTTTCTCAGAGTCCTGGAAGCATCTTGGGGATCATGCAATATTTTGTCAGGCTTTGCCTACTGCCTCTGACACCCTAAGATGACCATCCTCTATGATATGAGACTAGTCACCTGTGTATCCAAGCCTATGCTTGTAAGGGCTGGATTGTA